CTTTTACACCACCAATTGCGTTCTTGACTATCCCTGCGATATCCTCGGTAGTCAGGCCTATATTTTCTTCCATAATCAAAATATCAGGAGCAAAAAATCAGCCAAAAAACCGCGGAAATAGTGAATAAAAGGACAGCTGAAATACAAGCGACGTGTCACAGCGAATGGAATCGGTCAAGTGACCCAACACACCAAAGGCAATCAAAATTACTCAGAATATTTATGAAGTCATCTAATTAATTTGTTACAAGTTTAGCTTTTAAAAGATTTGTTTGGCCAGGTGATATTGCAATTTGTGTGAGTCTATCATTACATAACAGCATAAAAATGAATAAAATTGCTATTAGAATTAATAGAACATAATGACTCACTCAACAAAAATTTATGATTTTTAATTCATTAATTTTATTTTTGCACAGCCCTACATAACCCTGCAAAGAGCCAAAATGATTTCTTTCCTCCACCTTTGTCATTTCGTGTTCTTAGATTTTTACTAAGATAATAAAAGAAATATAGGCCTAGTTAAAAATCATTCTACATGTTTTATTAAGCTCGCAAATCTTACAGCTACACAGGTTACTCAAAATTATATCAAATATATTTTCTATGTAATAATACCTAAAGTTAATGTAAAATATAGGAATTCAAATGTCTTACTTTGTCGAATGAATGACAAATTCCCTGACATCGTATTGCCATTCCTTACTTACAAAATTTAAAAATGAAAGTTGGAAGGAGTGTTCAGATGGGAACATCAATAATGTTATGATCGCATTAGGCAAAAGCCCTTCAACAAAAAAGTATCTTTTTCAAGTGTTAAAAAAGTGTATGTATATCATTATGGTTCCTCTCAAATCCTATCAAACATTTACTTTACCTCCGCCATATGTTGCATGCCAAAAAAAATATTTTAAAACTAAGTAATATCGTTTAATATTTGGTGAACACAAACCATAGAAATTTAGCTAGACCTCCCATTGCCTTTTTGTAGTTGATCTAAAGCATTTGGCACTCCGTTACGGTGACTCGTTATATTATTTCATGCCCATTGTTAATAAAACCATTTGACAGTTGAATGATGCAGCGGTAATGACATAAACAATATAACGAAGTTAGTTCCTTTTTGGTTTTTGTTCCAGTGAACTTACGTTAACGAGGCCAATGCCCGAATAAAATTAACATTAGATCCTGTATAGAGGATAACTAACCTCTACTGAGGGTGCTTAAAAACAGGTACAACATTTCTCACAGATCGTTAAATACCTTCATTCTTCGGGAACACATCATGCAATCGGATGGTTTGTAGAACCATACTAATCAGCAATGCTTTCGAAAAAGCTTTTTCGACTTTTTGCAAGCTTTATCGTTTGTATAATTAGTATCATTGATATATGTCGTTGTCTAGCTACTTCAGGTAAGACTTTCATCAATTGATTATGTAATATAAAAATAGAGTCACCATCTGACTATATTTATTAAAGATTACCAGAGTTAATGTGTTAATATGTTAGGCCAGTTTAGAAGCTTGCTACTTTATGATGATAATGATGATGATGATGATGATTCGACAGGTATCGAACCTGCGATCTCACTAACAAGGCGAGCGTCATAACCACTAGACCACGAATGGTTCATGGTTGAACAGGTCTAAATAACCGTCGGGAACATTGTATTACAAATGTAATAGAGTGGACTGCATTTACTAATAAGAAGGTTTGTTTTAATTGCTTTTTTGAGAAATCTACCATTGTTTCTTTTTGAATTGCATTCTTGCATGCAAACGTTCCATATTTTGTTGATACTTATATTTTAGTTAAGTTTAATTACAGAAATATTTCAGAGTACACACTACACGATATCTGACGAGCCCAATGAATTAGAAACAATATTTGATGCATTTGATCTGACTGTGTGTGTGAAGTTCAGCATTCGGTGTAAAGTGTTCACTCCTGAAAGAATAGTAAAATAGGCCTATATTACACTGCGCTAACTCTCCTTTGGGGACATCCCTATTAAGGGGACACATTTCCATACATTTAGGGAAATATATTTATTATTACTACAGCCAATCCCTATTAAAGGGACACCCTATTGAGGGGATGGGGACATGTTTGAGTGTGCAAACTGGTCAAATCATTATCTACTGTATTTAACCCCAATTAGGGGGACACTAATGTTTTATTCTCAAAGTAGCGAATGCCATTCCTTATACAGATTTTATATCAACAAAAAATAATAATATAAGAAATTTAGTTCTTGTTATACGATATTTTAAAAATGTATATAAATGTTGTTAAAGCATTTTGCATTATATTAGAAAAACGCCTTGTTGGCCTACATAAATGCCATTAATTTGTTAGTATAGATATGGTGCAAAAGGACGAGGATTTGCAATCTCAGACCAACTTGTTAGGTTTTGAGACAATAGAAAAGATACAATAATTTGTGACCCAAGCTCACAAACAGGCTGTAAACTCGTCCTCAAGCCAAGATGAGTTTTTAAAATGACAGTTAAATGGACTCAATCGGGTGTCTGGAAGCAAAGTTATAACCGTTTGAATAATTCATAATTTTCACTAACTCCCATTTGAAAATGGCTAAATTTTGCCTTTGACAGTTTGAATTTTAAACTCAAACTTCAGGAATAGTAAAATTAATAATTAAACTTAATTTATTACACAAAAACCCAATTCACACGAAATTCATATTTTATGGCATGTTCTGGCTATTGAGGCTTGTTTCTCAATACAGTGCTGTGCGAGATTACAGCCTGTTTGTGAGCTTGGGTCACATTTATATATTAACTTTATTAATAATGTAAAATACTTAACAGAATAATAGAAACTGATACTATAAACTACCTTCAATAAAACATGAAATCAGGCCTATCATTCCTGGTAAAATTGAGCTCAATTAATTTTGATGATTTGACATTTGACCTTTAACAGTTGGTGTCACAATCACTATCTATTAACTCACACCAAAATCATAAAAACCACTGATTAATCTCAGATAAGATAGTATAACACTATATAATAATAATAATAATAATAATAATAATAATAATAATAATAATAAAAATATTAATATTTCGACATTAATTAATTTCGAAATTTTGAATCCCGACAATGACAGCAACATTTAAGCGTCTGACATTAGTCCTAGCAATAATAATAATAATAATAATAATAATAATAATAATAATAATAATAATAATAATAATAATAATAATATTAATGTTATTGTTAACCAATCTCCAGCAGGAAACATTATGCAAAAACTAAAGGAATTTGGTGGTAGTCAGACTTCAAAAGCATATTTGAAAAGGACTATACTATGGAATGTCACCATCTCTACTGAACTGACAAGGTTTAATTTAAATCGGCCTGTTTGCCACTAGCAGCGTTTCGAAATGTTGCAAGAAAAACAATGACCCTTAAATATATTATTTGACACAAATCTCTGAACACTATAAAGACATTGCGTCATGCAAATGCGTATGGAGAAAGTACTGCACTTTGCTATGTTTTTTTGCAGAGATAACCTATAATAATTTTTTGTAGTTCTGACCATATTGACCCCTTTGTGATCTCTGAACTCAAGCTGTGAATACCCCATGTATGGATGATGTCACCGGTTTTACTGACCAAAGTTTATCGAAATCGGCCTAATCAGATGCTACTAGCAGGGTTTTGAAATGTTCCCAGAAAACGATAAGAATGACTCCTAATGCCCTTTAACCTAAAAATCCCAGAACATCATGACAACTATGTTAGGATGTGCACAGAATTGAAGTACAAGTAATATGAATGTCACTCAAAAGTTGACAAGACCATTTTTTTCGAAAACTTTGCCTTATGTTAATATATATAATTATGCAAATGACAATATTGTGCTATGTTATTTGTGACAGATATTTTTTGGATTTTTACCGTAAATGAACAGTGTTGCCATAAAAAATAATTGCTATAATGACATTTGACTCCAGATCCTAGAACATCATAATACCATGCCTTATGCCAATGCATGTGCAAGTGACTTTGCTATGTTATGTGACAGATTTAAACTTTAATTGATTTTTTATCGTTTTCACTGTAATGACCCCTATCTGAATGAACCCAAGCAGTTAACAACTCATGAATGGGAGATGTCACTGGTTCTAATTAAATCAATCCAATTTTTGCCACTAGCATCGTTTTGAAATGTTGCCAGAAACAGAAAGAAAAAAGAACCTAGTCTGCCTGCGGCTGACTGGATAATTATAGATTAGTTTTTTCAAAGTAAAATGAAAGAATTATGCTAGCAGTTTAATGTATACTTTTAATTTTACCTTTTTTCAATGTGTTATCGCAGGAGATGAACAACAAACCACGGTTCAACTAACAAGCATAGACTGGTCAATTGACACTTCTGAGCTAGTTATTGGTGAAGATGATAACACAACATTCAAATGTACAGCAAACATAAAATCTTCGTCAAGTCTTATGGGCACCTCGATGTGGAAGCTCAGTATATTTGGAGCCAAAAATGTACGAGGAACTGGCACTAAGCATAGCTTTAATCCCCAGGTTTTGAGTGCTGTACAACAAGCAACACCACCTCTAAAGCGCAAAGGGAGTACACAAAAACTCAGTTTTACTGTTCCATTGCTTCGCTTTGATCTCTCTGGCATCGGTTGTGGAAAATTCAAATATATATGCTTGAAATTTAATATGAATGATGAAGATAATGCAGACTATAGATTTATAGAGTCGACGTTAAATACAAACTGCAAAAGAAGTGATTGCTTCAATTGTAAGTATTGTCAATTCTGTTATTTAAAATGTATTGATAAAAATAATGTATACGACTTAGTTACACCCTCATTGCTGCTAAGGTTACATTTACTAAATTATTTTCAAGAATTGGGAAAAGTTAGGTTTTTACGGAAATACATTGTTCTACATGTGCTTCAAATAAAAACTGACTAAACATATAATAATTTAAACGATTTCTTCTTATGATTTATTACCCACTTATTACCTACACTTGTAAAGGTTAAAGGTTAACCTTGAATTTAAATGTTTTACAGTGGTAAACATTGGTTTTGACGCAGAAGCAAATGGTACATTAAATACTTTACCAAGGCAACCAAACAACAAAATGGCTTTTGATGTGGACATAATTTCACGTGGTCCAATTGGTATAAATAGTAAAAATTCATGGAATGTAGCCGTCTATGCTACTAGCACAGCTGATGGTAAAGGTACACGCTACAACGAAGTACGACAAGCACTAACTAGTACCCAGAGCGCCACCAGACTTGTTCCCTTTACTACATCTAAAATCGGTATCGTTTCATACAACTTGAATATGACTAATTTAAATTGCAACCTTGCACAGTACGTCTGTTTACATCTAACAAAAGGCAAGGAATCGCAATATGATTTCGTGATCTCTCCAACCAATGCGAATATTGACCAAGATGAGAATGCTGTATATAAATGTTTTTTACTAAATTGTGAAGGTAAGTATTTTACACTATTCTCTGCTTACATAAAGTAAAATATATTAGTAATTAATATCTTACTTAGAATGGGATTAACACCTTTAGAGGAATACCGTTATAACAAATTATATTTCTTATTTACATTCTCAATTTACACAAAGTAACTAGTACCATAAAACTTCTAATAATAATCCATTACTCTACTAGTAAAGGATTATTATTTGAAGTTGTATGGTACTTACAATAATAATTCATTACTATAATAGTAACCCCTCTAAAAGTAACTCATCGTATAAGTTCTTCTGTAATAATAGCCCACTACTCTAATAATATCCATGGGGTTACTATTAAAGACATCAAGACTATAGACAAAATGACATCCAAATCAACATTATGTCGCTTTAACACGACTTATTTCTTATTAAAGGCATTATTCATGTGATTGTGCTATTGATGGTTCTTTGTTAATTAATTCTTGGTAATTTTCCTTAAAGAAAAAAAAAGTTCGAATTTTAAGTTTAAAATGGATTAATGGATATTGCAGTATAAATTAATAGTTCGATATTCGTTAACGTGTAGTTAGAAATCTACAAGGAAAAGCATTAGGGAGGAGGTATGTTTTGAGTTTATAGAAAAAAATTACGGCAATAGTAGTAAATTAAAATCATTTTTTTCTACTCTAGTAAAGCGTTTCTATGAACTGCTGTCGTGAAAATCTGAAAATTGGTGAGGATTTATTAGAAATTGGGATAGCGGGTCCAATGTCCCCGAAGAAGGGCTGTGGTATTAATAATAATAATAATAATAATAATAATAATAATAATAATAATAATAATAATAATAATAATAATAATAATAATAATTTCAAGGTGACATATTCAACATCAAACATCGTCTCTGTACTGAAGTTCTTAAACATTATAACTACACTCAAACATACCATTTCAGATTTATATACAGAATGTAGCACACTATTTCCTATTTTAAAATTCCCGCTAATGGGGGAATAGATATGTGGTTGGCATTTCTATCTGGTAATTACATTAGCACTCGTAACAGCACAGGTCAGTGTCCTTGTACAAAAGCCTGTTATGTGAAGGTGATTAAAGGCCTATAGATCCAAACAAACCCAACACAAGAGGCTTTATTGTATATCATACCTAATCACCCTTTAATTAACACCAAATCTTCATTGCATAATATATTATATATTGACTATATATATATATTGTTATATTGACTCCCTGGTATAACTGATTTGTTAATCAACGTTTGAGCAGTTATTTTGATGTCTTGAATACAAGACGCAACATTCGTTTTCTGAATAAAATATTCTAGTGTCTAATTATGGAGTAAAGATAACAGGTTAAAGAATAAAGGTTAACATTTAAAATTAATTTAATAAGCCAACATATGATAGGAAAATGTAAACACATTTTTATTAGAGGCTTCTAAACAAACCTTGGTTTTTGTTTGAGTTGTGTACATTTCTCCCTTACAGTACAGAAATTATCAAAATTAAAAATAATATAATGATGGTGATGGTGATGGTGATGGTGATGGTGATGGTGATGGTGATGATGATGATGATGATGATGATGATGATGATGATGATGATGACGATGATAACGACGACGACGACAACGACGACGATGATGATAATATATTGTGTAATAAAATGTCTCTCAGGGATAACAAATCCACTGAAAAGAAACATTGAAAAAGCATAATAATTTGCTGTATATTCCTAAAATTCTTGATGAAACTTTATTGATCTTGTAGGGTTTTAGGTTTTATTTCAAATATTTATCAATTTTTCAGCCGTTATTTTAAATTTTTTTTTTTTTTAATATTTTTATTTTTGCAGCCATCTTGAATTTGAGGCAAAATCTTGGTAATCCCCAAGCTAATTTCAAATAGAATGGGGTTAGGGTTTTTAAACCGCTGGGAAAACATTGACCGCAAATTTTCACTATGTCGTTTCATCAACGGTTGGTTAATGTCTTTTGTAAGCACAATTGATATAACTTTGTGACAAGCCGATGCAAAAAATATTGAAAGTGAATAAAAATATCTAACCATAGTACACTTACAATGGATTTTTTTTTCATTAA